ATACATGGCCTCCAGCTGCTACTCCTTCAAATCATACTGGTTGATTATTTCCTCAGCCTCAGGTAATTTCATTACATAAATGGCTAATATTCACCTGAATACTTGTGGGAGATGTACTGCTGACCATTCTCTTTTGCCGTAGCATCTCTTCTCTAGCATTTGCCCTGTAAACCCTGGCCACCCTAGCTTGGTAGACTTCCAGCTCCTTTTTCTCAACTCTGCAAATCTACTGGGTTGTACCTGAATTCCCCACAACCTCAACCTTGTTGTGCCATGGTTTGAAAACATCCAAGCAGTAAGCTCAAAAAAATGTAGTGTTCACCTCATTTCTTGTTCAATAAATTAATAAACTTATTCATTTGATAAATGTCAAATGAATATGACACATGCTATATTTCTTCAGCCTTTGTGAATGTGGTTAACATTGTAAATAATAGAATTTCATGTTTGTTTACATATGTTTAAAAATATCATTTGATTATAGTTTCCATCTTTTCCTGATTATATTGTAATCTCGGGAATATTTTAAAGAATTATAATTTTATTATCAGGTACACACAATTACTTGAACTCATAACACAAATAAAATTGCTTTAGTACCTAGACTGTAATTATTTTAATTGAATGAAAATAGGTTTTTAAAAAATGTTTTTGCACATTTAAAAAATACTATTGTATTTCTGTTTTTTACTGTCAGTTTGCTAATTAAATTAGTTTAACTGGTATAATGCAAAAGTAACATTCATACAGCCCCTGTCAAATTATAATTGGTGGAAGCAGAAATAGTGTTTTCATGTTGTTAATATTAGAATGTATAAGGTAGAAGAAATCTTCTAATTATTCAGGTTTGAAATGTGAAATTTTATAGGCTGATTGGAAAATAGCCTCATGAAGAATTGCTGTATAAAAATATTGAGGGGGCATAGGAAATAAGAATTCTTGTATGTTAATGAGAAATACTTAAGACATACAGCTTTCTGTTAAACAGTTCACAATATATAGTTTTATTTCCAGACCCCAGCTAGAAAAAAGAACTCATAACTGAGAAGCAGATGGAGCAGCAGAAGCTGCTAGAGGCAGTGAATGTGCTTCACAGAGAGTCCAGTGCTGTCTGAGGCTGGGTCACTACCTAGCACAGCAGGATTCACTCTGGACACTTGGAGAGTGACCAGGTACCTGCAGGTCATCTCAGGGCAAGCATAGCCTAGTTTACACCCTGCCACCACCATCTAAGAAAGATCCTCTACCAGGAATCAGCTATGCTGCTGGCTCGCTGTTTTAAAGTGTACTTCAGAGAAAATTCATCAAAACGATATCCTCACACAGAATCCCAATGCAACAAAATAGCAAAAACCCTTTAAAATTTTCTGAAAATGCATTTGACAGGTCATACAAAGATGAAACACTTTGAAAGCATAAAAACAGAGAATTGCTTTAGAGATGTTTTCCAGTGACTTTTTTTCGTGATAGCATTCTCTAACACCTTACCTGTGATAGATTTAAGATATCATACAAACCTTTAGCGATTAAGTCTTTAAAACATATCCACCAAGTAATCTCACTTGAATATTTTCCTTGTATCCTGGTTCTCCTTGATTTTATGACCTCTTAGATTGAACACCAACTCTAACTTCTGAAAGAGGAGGCACCTATAGTGAGGGTGAAGGTCTTCAACTAGTGGTTAAGGAGACTTAGAATTCCAGACCACTAAACCATGTGACTTAAAATTTCTACATATTCACAAAGTTTTCATGCTATAAAAAGCCTTTCAGTGCTGGTGGGTTCAAGGGCAGGAAGTCACACTTTTCCCTTCTTCTAGAATTGACGCAAAGCATTTGCCTTTACAAACTAAGCTGTTAATATGCTTTAAAAATGCACATAAACATCACAGCAAATTCATTTCGTACACATTTTTATGATGGTGACTTCCTTGTATAGACTGTAAACAAAACAAATTTCACATATTATTAAACCTTGGGGAGAAACACACTTCAACCCTAACCTTCATGTCAAAAAGCAGTTAACTTTTTCAAGTTATAAGTCATTTCGATTTTTAAATATTTACCCTTAGACAGAATTTCTTCAAAGTCTAACTGGTCTTATTTTTGTCCTCGTTTGTGTCATGAACTATAGCTCAAATCTTCAAATTGCTGTAGATGTAGTTAAGATGTAAATATAAGTACATTTAAATGTAAACAATTAAACCGGTTTGAGCCTTTCTGAGCAGACCGAACATATGAAAAAATGAATGAGTCAGTCTTTTTAAAATCAATTTGACTGGCCATCATATTCAGCCACAGTAAGCAGAGGACTCACCAGAACAATAGGCAGGTCATTTACCATGAGGGAGGAGAGCAGAATGACCTGATTGAGTAATAGGCTTACAGCACTTTAAGGACTTCCCGTGGGCTTCAGACTAACAGTGTCTAGGCTGGGATTTATGCGCCCACCCCCATCTCACGCCATACTTCTTTCTATTCTCTAACTATACTAACTCTTTCTAAATTCCTTAAATGTGCCAAGCTCTTTCTTGTATGTTAATCTGCCAGGAACCTTCTATACTAAACCCTCCCTTCTCCTCACCTGACTAAAGCTGACTCCTCCTTTGGGTCTCAGCTCAGCCATCACCTTCTTAAAGAAGCCATCTCTAATTACCTCTATCCCCCACTGCCTCACACACACAGGCTTGCATGCACATACAAAAGCATGCACACGTGCCATATCTACACACCAGATTAAGTTAAACCCCCAAGCTATCTCTCCCCATGATACTGTTCGCCTTTTTTTTTTTTTTTTTTTTTGAGACAGGGTCTTCCTCTGTTGCCCAGTGGCAAGATCATGGCTTACTGCAGTCTCAGCTTCCTGGGCTCACAGAATCCTCCCACCTCAACCTCCCAAATAGCTGGGACTACAGGTGTGGACCACCATATCCAGATTTATTATTATTATCATTTTGTAGAGATGGGGTTTTTCTATGTTGCCCAGACTGTTCTCAAATTCCTGAGCTCAAGCAATCTGCCTGCCTTGGCCTCCCAAAGTCCTAAGATTACAGGCGCTTCTCTTTCTTTAGCCCCATGGAGTTTGCAATTCTTGTTTAGTGTCTGTTTTCCCCACAAGGCTGTAGCACCATGGGGGCAGAGGATAATGAGTCTTATTCTCAGTTGAATTCATAGCAGAACATCTGGCACAGTAACTGCTAGGAACACGGAGAAGGAAGAAAAGAAGAAAGGAATAAAAGAAAGAAGGAAAGAAAGAAGGAAGGAAGGAAGGAAGGAAGGAAGGAAGGAAGAAAGGGAGGATCTATACAAAATTGTAGAGTCTCTATCCTAGTGGATTTGGAAGCATATAAAAAAGACATTCTCTGGTGTAACTGGCTAGACTCTACTGTACCTCAAAGTCCCTTTAGTTCTGGGTCAGGTTAAGTCATCTATACCTTCAACAACCCTTGATCTGTTGAAAATGCAGCTCATGTGTGGGTCAATGGGAAGATTCTAGAGAGGAACTGCACTGCTTAGCTCAGCTAAGTGCAGAGCACATTTATCTCAGTTGATCTCAGGTAGCCAAGGGTGAGATAGGGGCACCAATGTTTGCCCAGTCCCTTCTCTGTGAGAAACAAGCAGTAAAATGCTTTCTTTGGCAGAGACTGCATCTTTATATTCCACAAACTTCAGGGCACCACTCTGTGCAGAGAAGAATAAATCCATCCCCTGAACAAGACAGCCTTAATATTCTCTTTAGCTTGACTAAACTTTAGACAGGATTTTTCCTGAATACAGGCCCCTGACGTCCCTTTTCTAAGAGCATTCACTTTGGAAAACCCAAAACTGTAAATTCTTTCTCTGCCTTGTTGAGATGTAGATCGTCTAGTTTCTTGCTAATTTCAGAAACCAGGGATGTCTTACTGAACGACAAGGACCTGACAGCCATCCCTTTAAATGTAATCATCAAGAATAGTGGTAAACCCCTCCCTTCCAGTTTCAGTGGGACGGTAGGAATCTAATGTGCCAATTAGCAAACACAGATGCCTAATCACATGGGCCAACCTCATGCCAGTGGCCCTCCAGTACTTTTCCACTAGCTCACCCAGTACTTAAAAACCTTCCCATCTTTTATTTTAGCAGAGTTGGGTTCAGTATCTCTCATATTTTGTAATAGTCTTGAACAGAGTCTTTTTTGCGTGTTTGACTTTGTCTGGTGCAATTTGTCTTTGATACCCTCGTAGACCTGGCTCACATGTGTGCCTGAATTAAACTGGGGCTACATCACTCCTGGTAGATAGGAATGCTCTAGAAGGTGATCACATTTCAAAAATTCTATCTCACTGAATACAATGTCAGTGAGCTCCCATTTAGTGAGAAGGATAATTCTTTTTATAATTTGAGGTGATATTGTTTAATGATGTTATTTTGAAGTAACATTAAACAAATGAAAATATCTGGCTACTTCTATGGGAGGCAGATTTGAATGATGTCCCAGGAGGATAAACTGTGGTTGGCATGTTTCAGAGCTATATCAGTTTTCTGCTCCATATAATGGAGCTCATGTAGTGGTCATGATTGCAATGTTGAAACCTTGTTGAGCTCTTAGTTTGAAGGTCAGCCTCTGAGGTGCCTATATTTTATTTTCTTCTGGTTTGGAGAGTGGCTGATAGCCTTTTTGGCTGAACATCTTCCCTCTCAGTAAAAGTGAATAGCACAGAATCTGATGACTAGTGAACTCATTGAACTTTAATTGTCAGTATTGCTGTCATCATCTCATCACCACTTTCACAATTGTGAAAAACAAAGAAACAAACAGGATATTACGCCTTCAAAACTTTCTACTCTCTACCAAAAAAAAAAAAAAAAAAAAAAAAAAAAAAAAAACAGTTGTTGGGTAGTAATGCTGGCTTAAAACAGACTGTAGCCTTTGCTGGATTGCTTCATTCATATATAACCCTGAGCTCTATTTGTGAGATGTTTGTCTTTCTCTCTCCCTACCCCAATCCCTGCATTTTTTAGTGATGGATGGGCAGACAGAGATGAAGTCATTGAAGGTTATGAGGTGGAAGCCAACGGGGGAATCACGATAAAGCTGCAGTCTCCGGAGGTCAGGTCATTCGATGATTATTTCCTGAAACTGAGGCTGGACACTAACACAAGGAATCCCTGGTTCCCTGAGTTCTGGCAACATCGGTTCCAGTGCCGCCTTCCAGGACACCTTCTGGAAAATCCCAACTTTAAACGAATCTGCACAGGTAACTTGTGTTCACAAAATAACAGCTCAGAGGTTTGGTCATCTCTTCTAGATTTATTGCAGCTTGTTGAATGAGAATAGAAGGTGCCAGGGCTAGAGCTCCAAATACAAAATTGCCATCTGTGTTTATAAAATGCTAGAATGAGGAGGAAGTGTGTATTACCCCAGGGATTCATGGAAATCTGGAAAGACAACTTTGGTCTCTGTTGGAGCAAGTGATAGGGGATAACCGAAGTAAAGGAAAAGCAAACTGAGGAGTCAGGTATCTAGTATTTAAGCCAGAGGAAAGAGATTTTATGACAAACATGTTTAGGAGAGCTTAGCCGTAGACATAAGTCAGCAGTACTGGTTAGATCCTCTTTTTTTCTCTGTGGCTTGTTTAGATACAGAAGTCAGGAGACGATGAGGTAATGTGACCCTAAGCCACACCATGAACAAGGGTGTTTGTGGGCACAGGAGCCAAGAAACTGCACTCTGATCTTTCAGTCAGAACAATGGTTCACAGCTGGACAGACGAGCACCATGCACTACGCACTGATGCCATGCCAAGAAACAGCAGCACGTTGTTCCAAGTCCTTTAGGGGCGTGGTGAAATCCACAGGATGTCATCCTTGCAACCCCTAGTACTCCCATAACCCAGATTCTGAAGACTGTAACTTTTATGAGTATTATTATTATTGCATAGGAGCATTACTGTCCCCTTTCCTTGTTCAGTATTTTCTAGGCTGCCAAGATAAATCATCTATGTCCTTTCGTAATGCCATTCAAAGCAAGTTGTTCTTACTGGGTCGATAGCATAGAATAATGGAGCACTCATGATAATGGGTGATGGAATCTAACCATGACCTAATTTGTGTTGTCGAACAGTGGTGTGACATGTATATCCTGTATGTAGGCTGAGCAGACATTATTTATAAAGGCATAGAATCATGTCACACCCATGTATAAAACACTGTATATAGCAAAACAATGGATAGAGAAACATATAATCCATGACTCTTGACCTAGAGAGGCTTGCCATCTCTTTGGACAAATCAAAACAGTTCACATACGTGAAATAGATAAATGACGATAGAGGACAATGAGTTTTTACAGGGGATGGTAAGAATATGGCTAACTACATAAAATATTTCTATTTTCAATAGTATTCATAGTTTGATGTTAGAAAATGCTTTCAGATACCAATATATGTAAATGCATCGATGTATATTTGACTTCATAATGTTCAGCAGAGCTCATTGGGAAATTGCCAGGTATGAATCTTTTCAAATAAGGAAGTTTCAATCTTTTAGAACTTCCTCAGTTTGGCTTCTAGGGAGGTTGAGAAAGACAGGAGAAAGGGGAGACATTGCTAATCAGTAACCCACCTCTGCCACCTAGGTATTTCTACTTTCTCTGAAATAATAGACACACCAAGAATAAGGATTCTAATGAACCAATAAATCACCCAGGACAGTCTCCTTATTTGCAAAACAGAGGTGATGAGGGTGAACAGGGGAAACAGTTTCCCTAGGCTCATAAGGTTAATGGCAGCAAAAAAAAAAAAAAAAAAAAAAAAAAAAGAAAAGAGAACCCACACCCCCCAGAACCATAGTGCCTGCTTTTAGACTTAGCATTTGGCAATATATTATCTCTCATTACTTTCTAATTGTTTCCTAAGAAATGTTTGCCATCTTCAACTGTCGTCAAAGCAACCTTACTTTCTTCATAGAACCCTATACAACACTGATCTCTGGGAACTCAGTCAATTCTTGTTAGCTAACTGATCAGTTAATTTACATTTTCATTCAGGGTAGGGAGTTTTGCTGAAGGGTCCAAGGAGAAGAGCAGTGAGGAGCCTACTGAATAAACAGGGGAAGGTGGTGAATCGGGCAAGGCAGTGGCAAGCAGGGTGAAGAGAAGTGGTTTGATGCTGAAGACATGTTAAGTGAAAGTTGAGATTTTCTGACAGAATTGTCAAGAATAACTGTAATCTGAGCAATTGGAAAGATGGTGTCACCATTGACTGAGACAGAGGAAGACTTCAGGAAAAAAAGATTAGGGAAAATCCAAGAGGCTTATTTTGGATAAATTAAGTTTGAGATATCTGATGGTGGTCCAACTATAGATGTCATTTTGTCATTGTGTTTTAATAGTAAAATTCAGGATACTACTTATTATACATGCTTGGATCATTTACATAAGGATTTCTAGGAAGATATTTTGTTACCTGAGCTCTCAAAACAAGCTAAAACTCTGCAACCAGTTACACTAATATTTTGGGTTTTCAATTGTGACAGTACATAGAATGTTAAGGTTAAAGCTTAAACTGGGTTAGTACTCACGGCAAGAAATAACAATTTACAAATCTTGTTTTATTCTTATGCTGTGCTTGAATCTCAAAGCTATGTTTAAGAGCTTCTTATGTGATTACAATCTTTATGAAATATGTTTATATTTGCATTTTATTCTGGAGTCAAGTTCAGCAAATATTTCTCTCTTTTTTTAGGTCTAAGGAAGGTAGGAGGTTTATTTAACTTTTCAATTTGGAATTAATTCTTGAAACTTATTTATCTTTTCTGCAGCAAAATTCTTATAATTTTATCTTTATCAGTGTTTATCTATATTATCTTTAATGTATACATTCATGTATACCTACCTTGTTGTTCAGTTTTAATCTCTGTATTTCTGTGAAATTGGCTTCAGTGTTATTGAAGAACAATAAACTTTCACTTCACGTATTATTCTTATCCATTTGAGATCCTTAAATATCAAATGAATTCCATAATCTTCTAATAAATATGCAGACACATTTATGAAAATTAGTGTGAGGAAGTAGAATTAACCTTTGCGTTCTATTGATAGCTACTGTTTCTGTCACTCATTTTTACCTCTTCTAATTGGGTCACTTCTAGTGGTTTGGAAAGTTTTGATACTGCCATTAGTTTCCATAGAAACCATTATTGAACTTAATCCCAGATGTCACTATTTAGATAAAGAGTTTATGGGCACTAGAATGCCAGTTTGGATGTTAAAGGTCCTGAGCCCAGACTGAGTAGTTTAGGAATCACTGTGGCTAATTTAAAAGTATTTCATGTAAAGTACACATCACTGCTTAATTAGTTGAATATATCGAGGTATTGGAGCTGTGTTAGAAAAGCACTAACTGAAACATCAAAGCGTAACTTCTAAAAAATTAATCATTGTAGGACAGTGGAAAGAGGTGTAAAGCAAATCAGAGTCACTCTCTTCCAGTAAATGTCTTAGCTGCTTGAAAGATTTGTATCATGTTTGCAATGGCATAGTGCTTTTTCATTCCCAATGAGACTCATTAGAAAGATTCCATAGAAGCTGATAGGGTGTAACATTTTGAAGCACTATCACTGGGTCCAGTACCAGTTCAGTTATGTATCACCCGCATGACTTGCATGACCTCACTTAACCTCCGAACCTCAGTTTCGGTAACATGACAATATTCACCTCACACAGAACTCTGCATGAATTGAATGAAATAACACAAATGAACTACTTTACAATAAAATAATACAAGTGAAATACTTTACAAACTGAAAATACTTACCATAAATGTAAAATGTTACTACTCATGTCATGTCTTATTAGAAAAGAGGTCATGACATAGATCATTTCATAAAAATTATATATTTTGTAACTGTAAGTTTAACTTAACTACATCCCAGGATGTGGAAACTAGAAAGAAACAAGACAACAATCTTTAATCAATCACCCTTACACAGTTAGTGTCAATATAGATATTTTCTCTTATATATTTCCATGCAATCTTTTATAATTTTTTTTCTGATGATAAAAATAATACATACTTAATTTGCTATTGCATGCACCTGGAAATATACAGCAGCATTAGAAAGCTGAAGAGAATTAAGAATTTGCTCTTATCTAAACATTATTAGTCACTGTTAAATTTTTGGTATGTTTTCATCTCTCTATATATAGTTTTAAATTGTGTATTAATATTATTTTATATATTGCTGTATTAAAAATGTTTTATACATTGATACATTTCTCTTTGTCGTTAAATTCTTTTATTCTTAATGACTGCTTAACATTTTGCATTCAGATAAGCTATAATTTAGGCATTTCATTCTTTCTATTTAGGCTGTTTTTGGTTATTGACAATTTTTTAAAATGTTGCAGTGATATAATAAAAATTTTTCATTCTAACTTTATTTTTTTACATTTCGGATAATTTTCTTAAGTTGTATTTCTATAAGTTAAATTTCTAGAAATTTAATCAAAAGATATAAACATTTCTGGCTAGGTGTGGTGGCTTATGCCTGTAATCTCAGCACTTTGGGAGGCTAAAGTGGGCAGATGACTTGAGGTCAGGAGTTCGAGACCAGCCTGGCCAACATGGTGAAACCCCATCTCTATTAAAATACACAAATTAGCCAGGATGGTGGCAGGCACTTGTAATCCCTGTTACTTGGGAGGCTGAGGCAGGAGAATCATTTGAGCCTGGGAGGCAGAGGTTGCAGTGAGCCGAGAACACGCCACTGCACTCCAGCCTGAGTGACAGAGCAAGACTCCATCTAAAAAAAAAAAAAAAAAAAGATATGAACATTTTCAAGCTTTTGAAAGGAGTTCCAAAAGGCAACTCGTACAAAAGCTGCTTGAAACTCTATGCATTCTTTTCCATTTTGTTTTGCATAATTATCATCACAGTGTGCATACAATTCTGTATCTTATTTCACTTAAGATTATATTTTACATAGTTTTGATGTTGCTGCATGGTCTTTATAACCACCATTTTAATAGCTCTGTAATATTCTAACCAGTTAAAATACTATAACTACTAGCCATTCTTATGTTGTCAGACATTTAGACGACTTTTAATTTTCCTTCTTACATTAAAAAAAAAAAACAAAACACTGAATATGGTACACAGATTTTTCACAGTTGTTGTTGTTACTGCTTTTGGATTGTTCCTTTACAGTAGATTCCTAAATATAATTATTAGTAATAACTTGATAAATTTGGGGTCAC